CTTTTTTAAAGACAAAAATTTTTGAGGCGAAATACCCAAAAAGAAGTTTGTAAAAATGAATCCGCCTCAACAATATAGAACTTATCTAGAATATGCCTTCAATCGTACTCTGTGTTCTGGGCAAATTCTACCTTGTACAGTGCACAAAGAACCCTCGCGTTTCAATTCCACATATCCGATATCACCATATTGTTCTCGTCATGCCCAAAATATAAATGTAAGAGTTGATTTTACTTTTAAAGCAGCCATGTGTATAAGTTAGGTTAAGTTGAATAAAAGAAATTCCATTTATTATTTACCTGATTTAAACCAATACAGACAGATTAGTATATTAAGGAGAGAGTAACTAATAATGAATTTACGGATTTTTACGTATGCTGCTGCTTTGACACTCTTAAATTCGGCTGAATTAAAGCGTTTGTTGTTTTTTAAAAATTGGATAACCAGAAAAATAAGTACACATGGTAAATTGTTTGTTGACGCTTTAAGGAATCCTTCTGAAGCCATTTTTTAGTTTAACACAAACTATAATTTAAATCCACAAAATAATTAATGAAACACAACTACACAACTAAACACTATGCACAGAACGTAAACAATCCGCCATTTATATGACCAGAGACGTCACAACCAATAGGATTGCGTTTTAGAGATTCATAAATAATTTGAATTTTAGCTGAATTTGTTTATTAAATATTTAACAAAATAGGAATAGATAGATAGTATAAACTTATTTAATCGTTCATATATATGTCGGCGTCAAACAGTGAAATCCGTCATTCCCTGAATTGACTAGGCATTTTGCGTATTGCCGGCAAGTAATGTAACTGGGCTATCGTTACTCTATTTGAGTAACCATTGCAGTCATTCCCTGTACTGACTGAAATTTTTAGTTAAACGCTGTAACTGGCTTAACGAAACTGGGGTACACCGTTTGCCTAATTTAGTCAATCGATATGATCGAGTCAGTTGATCGATGTAATCGAGCGCGAACCTGTAATTTTATTTGCATTTTGGTTCAGTATTTTAGACAAGAAATCGAAATGTTACAACACTCGGATCGTAGGCCAGAGGACAAGTTGATTTAATAGATTTTCAATCCTCTCCAGAGGAAGAATACCGGATTTCACTGTTTGACGCCGACATATACATATAGATTACCATAGATTATTGTTCAGTTTGTAGGAATTTTTGATACAATGAAAACACCCTATTATAGAAGCAGTGACATCCCTGAACCTAGGGTACAGTAATAACAACTAGAGAATCAGCATGTTGTGTTATGCCGACTACGCCGCAATTATCGCAGAGAACGAAGACGACCTCCAGAGGCAGGTTTTCAGATTCCACCAAATCAGCCCTGTGCTGTATCATAAATGCTATTTTTAACGGCCACACGTTATGTCCACTTAACAGTTCAGGATAACATTTTCGATAACGCAGCAACACAACCGAGGTGTGCTATATCTCCGAGTTAACGTATGCGTTTCCGACCCAGTAATCCAT